AACACTGAAGGCAATACAATTTGGTATATTTAATTTAGGTGTTTTTACTTGGTTGAAAGTGGGGCATTTTTGACAGAAGCACAAAGGATAAAATACAATATGCGGAATGTACATTTTGCATTATAATGTAATTTATTATTGCATTATATTGTTCTCCTAATACTGAACCTAAAATATGATTTACAAACTACAAAATCACATCACGTAGACTGACACTTGAGGGAAATGTAACATTAATGAGTTCACATCTCTTTCTAATTCCTAAATTGCCATTTCACAGACGTTTACTTGATGTTGCTCTGACATTTTGCACTTTTAATGTTTAACTTTTAAAATAAAATGCATGATGGTTGTTCATCATGTGAGTACAAAACTATACTCCTAATAAAAGATAATCAACTTTACACATATGCCAGTATGTTTGTGCTCAGTTTTGTGATTTAAAGGGGTCCTGTTATGCTCTTTTACAAAGTCTTGATTTTGTTTTGGGGGTGTACTAGAACAGGCTCTCATACTAGGTTGTTCGAAAAACACATTATTTTTCACATATTTTACATTATTACAACATCTCTCTCCCCAGTCTGGCATGAACGGCTCGCACTTCCCCAAACTGTATCAAAACTTCCAAAGTTAAGCCAGGGCCGACGTGCATTTCGGCACATCTTTCTGAGTCACGCAGTGTGTTTAGTCATAATACAGGCCTCACTAATGTGGTTCTCCTCAGTCTAACACACTCAGACAGCCATGATTTGTTCATAAAAAACACACCCAGCGTTTTACCCTACACTTATTTGACAAGAATAAGGCATTATCCATTCACTCATACTAACCATGGACAGCCGTTTTAGGCGAACAGAAGACTTGATGGCTGAATTGGAACAGATGACTTCAGCCTGTCAGGCTTTAGGCTTTTAGGCCTCACAGACCAAGTATTCATATATCCCCTTAGCTGCTCTGAATTATTGCCAAGATCCAGCTCTTTGAAATTCTAGGAGACTAATGCCAAAGACACATCCCCCTCTTCTTTTCTACACAAAAGCTTTGTGGAAAAAAAGGTTTACTTAATGGCTCAACTTTCTCTTCATTACTTTGCACTCTCTGCTATGCTCAGGATAAATAAGTAATGTAAATAAACGGGCCAAAGAGGAACAAGAACAAACAATCAGTGAATGTTATCATGACTTTCTCCCCATTTTCTGTGATTTCTCAAAAACACCATTTTAAGAAGGCAAAATCCTTCAAAATAAACTAGATTAGCATTTCCTGAAGGAAATACCATTGCTGTAATGCAGCAAAAGATTAACTTTGGCTCTTTGTAAATAAAAAGTCCAATCACAATTTAGTATGCAAAGGAATGAAAAGAAAAAATAAGACCAATTGCAAACCAGTAGTAAGCATATATTAGGAAGGGTTCATGCGTTTTTGCATGTAAAAACACCAGACGCATGGCATGTCTAGAGAAACGTTTTTAAGTTGAACTTTTAACATGTGCAATAGTCAGAGACATCCATCTAGCATGTTTACATAGAAAAACAATGGGAAAACTGCAGAAAATCCTGTTTTCTTTGCCATGCCGCTACGCTACATCACATGCTTTAAAACACAAAAACACATTCTGTGTGAATGTCATCATTGCTGCCAATTTTGAAAGATTAAGATTCTAGCAATCTATTTTAATAGGAGATATTCTGTGTTTATTCTTGCATTCTTTTAAAAATTATAGCTTTTTAAAAACCCAACAATAAACGTAATGAAGCCTGGAAAAAAATGCAGCCATGGTCATATTTCACCCATGAAAATCTCATGAATTTTTCATTGGAAAAGCATTCTTACAAAGTGCCATACCAGTGCTTGTTGTTTCACAGCATGCTGCTATTGATTTCCGATTCAGATGATCCACACCAACACAGTCTCATGGCAATTCGTAACTATTTTACTGTTTGGCGAATTGATGTGCTAATTCATATGAATTCGTACAATCTCATTCTTATGTTTTCAAATGATGTATTTGATTCACATCATACAAATTCATACAAAGTCTCCACCTCGTAATATTGTTTTGTTTCTCATGAGATCAGGCTGTGTATACAGTACAAACAAATTAAAGTTCTCATGTGCTTCTTTGAATAAACAAAGGCAGGTCAGTAATTATTCTTGGCTGATATTTAGTTCACCATGCTTTTAAAAAGACACCACATAAAAAGCAAACAACATTTCTCTGGATTTCACATCCTTAAAACAGTACCAGGTTTTTTTTTTTTTTATCTATGTCTGAATTTTATTTTTGCTCTAAATATTCTCTAAAACATTCAGTAGTTCAGACTTTTTTTCCTCACAATTCTGACCTTTTTCAGAATTTCGACATATAAACTCAGAACTGTCAGATATAAACTTCTGAGTTTACATCTCTGAATACTGAGTTTATATTTCACAATTCTGTTTTTGTTTCCACCATAGAATAAAAAATGAAAAAGATAATTGCAATTTGTTATTTCAAAATAACTGCAATTCTGAGGAAAAAGTGAAGAATTGGGAGATATAAACTCAGAACAGTGAGACATAAACTTGCAATTCTGTGAAAAAAAAAGTCAGAATTGGAGATTTAAACTCAGAATTCTGACTTAGTTCATAATTCTGACTTTTTTCTCTTAATTATGAGTTTGTATCTCACAATTCAAAATTTTGAGAAAAACAAGTCTGAATTGTGAGATATAAACTCAGAATTGTGAGGAGAAAAATGTCTGAATTGTGAAATAAATAGTTAAAAAAAATTTATTCTGCGGTGGAAACGGTCTTCCATGCTTAAGTGTGTTGCAGTGCACAGAAGTTTCATTCTCCAGCTGCTGCTGGAGTCACACACAGTAAAGTCATCTTCAGTCCCTTTTGTTAAAGACTCAGCGCAAGTCTCACAGTATCAGAAAACCAACACAATAGAGGCTTTCTCACTGTAACACTGCGTGCAAGAGAAAAGCTTTATTGTGCACCAGAATAGACACACCAGGCTCTGTGTTCACACGTCACGCTCAACCAGGTTAGTGTTTTGTGTCAGAACAGGCCATTTGATGTAGCTAAACTCCCTTGAGAGGTGCTGACCACATAATGATGTTTACATTCCATGTAATGCATTAGTGCAATACCATAATACAGTACACTTGTAATTTTTTGCATACCTCTGCAGCGTGGATTCAAGAAACCTCAGAAGACCTGGTCTGATCACTGGGAAAAAAGAGCCTTGTTGTACATTCAGTGAAGGCTGAGGAAATGCCTATGGAGTAATCTGATCATGGTGCAATCTGTACTGCCAAGAAACCATTCTTTCTTGGGACTGCACCATTCAGAGGACACTAATCTGCCTTTTAAAATAAAAAAATAAAAATTATTTGTACAGTACATGGCTGTGAGCATTAGCTAATTCCTTTGTTCGTTATGACACTGTAGCATCAAAAACATGGAATTGCCAGTTTAGTCACTGTTGTTTGCTCCTGAGCACAGACCTGTGAGTGTTTGCTTTTACTTACCTGTTTTAAGCCATGTGGGTTGACCAGCAGTGGTCCAGCACACACTCATTCCTGCCCATTCCTGGGTGGTCACTGTCCAGTTTCCTGTTTTGACTGATAACAATAAGGATTGGAGATCAGATTCACTTTCAGACCTGTAAAAGGTCTGTAAATGAAAAAAGTTATTTTGCAAGTACAAGCTTATATTAATATGACTCAACTAAATGGTTAAATGATTTTGTTAGCTCTTGCGTAACTTAGGGTTGGTGTTGTACCACGCGCTTTCCAAGAAAAACAGACATATCCTGAGACTGTAAGTCTACACTGACGTCCTACACATCTGGTTACCATTAAGGTCCATTGACTCAAGTTACTCTCTGCAGGAAACAATCGCACAGCTCAAAGGAACCTTCTGAGGGAGCCTCCCTTTGCCAAAATGCTGCCCGAGTCTCATTTGTTGCTTAATGTAATAGTTCACCCAAAAATGATTAAATTGTTGAGTTGTTAAACCTGTATGACTTTCTTCTTTGCAACAACAACAAAAAAGAAGATATTTTGAAGACTCTTTCCATATTACAGTTAATGACCACATTTGTCACAGAAATAATGTATTGCATATCAAGACAATGTGAAGGTAATATGTCTTAAAGCAACAGAGCAGCAGCAGCAGGTTCTGTTTAAGCTTGGCTTTTATCTGCAGCAGCTGTGTAATTGCCTGCACATGCCCCTTTTTGCTTTAACTATAGTCCAGATTTCCCAGCTGACTGCTGAGAAACTATTTACTTTCAGCACCACCACGTGGCTACAGCAGAAACCATTATTTAAGTTAAACTTCTCTTCTTCATGGAATTTCACTGACAGTGTTATATATGGCACCATGCAACAATTTTACCTAAATAAATACTAATAATAATAATTCAGCCAGAACAACTGTGGCATATCTTAGTATAAATCACTCAAGACTCAAAAATTAAATGGATAAACAAACGAATAAACAGCAAATCACTGTTTTCAGAATTTCATTTCCCTTATGCACTGCAAAAAAAAATCAGTATTTTAATCAGTATTTGTGTCTTGTTTTCCAATAAGATATTTGAAATGCACTGTTCTTTATTTAAGCATAAATCTAAATATAATTTGCCAGTGGAGTAAAAAAAAAAACGATATATTCTATATTTTCTTAATGTCTCTTTTTTCCTTTTTTATTCTCACATAAATATATCTTATTTTAAGGATGTTCAGATTTGAATACAAAATACTAAGAGTAGTAGTAGTAATCGTAGTAGTATAGTAATACACTCTAAACAGCATAAACACAAAGAAAATGAAATATCGACAGCATTTAAAAAATAAGGGTAAAGCCTTTTATACATGTTCTGGGTTGTTTAATTTCCTGCCCAAAGTGCCCTATGCTAAATTTGTCACATCACAGCTTGGCACACCACACAATCACATTGCAAGGAAAGATTCACATTTTGGCAATGTTAGTCTATCTAGATCCCACCATTTGTGTCCTAGTTTCAGTCCAGTTATAATGGAATGTCAGCAGTGATTGAGAGTGATTTCCCTGCTCCAACAGGAAGGATGTGATAGCCTACAGGTTTCCCTTTAGTGTTGGGTGAGCTTGCATGCCCTTCCTCAAGTACACATTTACAATACGGCTGAAGCTGCCAGATATGTACCGTAATTACCGAAAGAGGAGTCAATTTTCCTGCAGTGAATAAAGAGAGTGGGTGTTTACGGAGCTAGGAAGAGTTTAGAAGTACCCTTTGTTGTTCGTCCCCGGAGACTTGACAGAAAAGTTGGCTGTTGACTGCTCTTCCGAATCTGTTCTGTGGCTGCGAGGACAGTCGATAGATAGTATGGATAATATATAAATATTATAAAGGATGAAAAGAGCTTACAGGTGTTCCTTGACGTTTCTGGCACTTTTGTGTATTTTAAAAGGTAAGTTACTTCTCAAATTCATAGTTAAATCTGCTGCACTTTTAAATGTACTTTTTCCACAAATAATGTTTAGTATTGTAAACTGACATTTGCAGAGTGGAAACATTTTCGCAACTTTCGCTTGCTCACGCGTTATGGTTTCAGGTTTATGGTAATATTTTGTACGATTTTCTTGTTCACGCGTTTCTCGTAAGCACGCGACTTCACTAAAGTCACTTTAAGGGCTCAATAATAAGACAGTCTGTACAAAGTCCAAAAGTGCTTTGTATAGGCCTAACTAAAACTCAAGTCGCTTGTTGTATTCTCATTTCAGTATGTGAACTGTGCTCATCTGTTCGAGCAAGTCGTGCTACAAAGTTTGTGGCGGAGGGCGGCAGTCTCCAGTTGAGCTGTGAAGTGCAACACTGTGGGCTTCCTGGCTGGACTGGAGGATGGACTTTCCAGGAATCGGACAGAACAAGATTTACTTTCCTCACTCCCTCTGAACGAATCGAGATGTCCAGTTACAGCTCAACAGCCAATAGCACACATCTGTTACTCCACATTCACAACATCAACCAGTCAGATGCTGGAGCATACAAGTGCCTGATATCCTGGTCTCAGAATTTAACTAGCAGTGGACATGTGACATTTGTTAACGTGACTGCAGGTATATACATATGCATGCAGGACAAGCTGTTGGTTTGAAATGATGTTTCAATTTTTGGTTTCCTAATTTCCATACAATATATTGCTAACAATAAAATCTTTATTTCTGGACAGCAACAGTAGACTCATCAGTCAGAAGCCTCTCTCATAGAGTTCTGCTTTGTTTTGGTGCCTTGATGTGTTTTCCTGTTGTTTTGGGATTTGTTTGGTGTCTCACCCGGGATCCTCATCCACCACTACCCCCTGTCCCGCCTCACCCCCGCACGTCCTGTAAGAGTCAACTCCATTATTCTGCAAATGTGTCATATATCAATCAACTTATCAATTGTTTTTTATCTTAAATATTTAAAAATTATTATAATAAATTTTTTGGGGGGGATGACTTTTTCTTGTTCTAGATGCATCTAGAGTGAAAACAAAAAAGGAAGTAAGTACATCAGTACATTGTGCGTTCTGATAAGAATCGGATTTGTTTAATCAGTGAATATGATCGATTTATTTACTTGTCATTATTTGTGCAGCTGGTGTATGCAGAAGTTGCATTGAGTGATTCAAGGCGGCTGGATGATCATCCAAAACAAGCGTCTGAGCCAACGGTCTATTCCTCTGTGCATTTCAGCCGAACATAAAGACATCTTGCATTTCTATCTCACTTGTGGCTGTGGGTTATTTTCAATACCAGAGCAAACATGACTGTAAACACTGTGGCAGTACAGTTGAATTGTTAGTCAACAAGATTGAAAAGATATCAACCTGACTTGAGATCCTTTGAAATGTGAATGCTAACAATGTTACACTTTGATTTATTATACAGTGGTTGTAACGCCATACTGAATGGTGGTGTTCTTCCAGAAACACTGTAGGATGTTTGTTTGTGTATGTAGAATGTAAGATTGTACCTAAAATAAAAAGAGATGTATCTGAGCAAACCGAATTGGTGTCATTTTTTAAATGTTTTACACAACAGACAGGTATTTGACATAAAATACATTTTATTTTATAATAAATTCTTAATGGCACATGCCATAACCAAATATACATATACATAATCTTTTAAATTATCTGTTAAATTATTTTAATTTGACTCTGTGTAAATTTTTTTTTACGTAACATCAACAATTTTTAAAGCAATAAATTATGGCAGTACAAACATATATGCCAACACATTTTATGTCAGAGTTTGTAACTATTGTACAAGAATATTTAACTCGCTCTCTGCAGTCTAATGCCCTCACCATTGAGTACCGCTGAAAAACTAACAGAATCATAAGGAATGAGCAGAGACACACATATGTAAATAAATAACAACATTTCAAAAGAAAATCCTTCAAAAATTGTTCAAAAATTATTCTGCCAGCCAAAGTTGAATAACGAAGCATTTACAAAAAAGGACCTTTTTGTACATCCACAAGTCTGAAGTTAAGAAGAACCATGTTTATGTGTCTGTGCTTTCTCAAGTGTGTTTGAGAGTTAAAAATGAAATTTAATGAAGTAAATAATTTCTTTCTTTTTTTTGGTTCAATTGTGCAAATATATCTGTTCAATAAAGTTAGCAGTATCTGCCAACCCAGTGTTGAACAAATATACTGAAGTCTTATTTAGAGAACTAAATATACGCTGAAATAAACAAACCAATTTTGCTTTAAAAATATAATAAAATGTGTCTTCGCCATCCATGCAAGGTTATGTTTTTTGTCAAAACCCTTCCCCTTTTACCACAAATAAACCTTGGCAATCTTCATCTTTGGTTACCCTCGGGAAAGGTGAATTTGACCTTTTCACATCACTCAAAAATAAAAGAACAGACTCAATCCTCAGCAGAGCATAGTTAGTGTACAGTATTTTAAGGCTTACACTGATGGGCAGTGTTACAAGACTCAAAATGACCCGTAATCTCTGCAAAAGACTGAGTACAGTACAGGTGCTTATAATGATACTTTGTAGTCCTTATCTCTTGTAACATTTAATGACTGAGAACTCTTCAAGTATTTCATGTAGCTGTGATAATATTGAGCATCTGTCTAGAAAGCAATTGCAGTTAGGCAAGAATAGTTTCAACACTTGTTTGAGCACTACATTTACAATGTTGGAAAAACAGAGACGTTTGTTGCTTTTTCTACTAAGACTGGTGTTAATTTCTGTCCTCTAAACCCTTTTCGTGTGTCTGTAGGATCAGTTCTAACAATAGTGTTCAGTTGTGTATTATGTTGAACAGTGATAACTGTCGCAATGGCAAGAGGAAATGGTCCCTTTTTCTTCCAATCTATAAAAATCCATTCAAAGTCACTGCCTAGAAAGACAAAGAACAGACGCACTGAGTAAATTATGTACTTTTAAGAGTGCACAGATTCACTAAAGTACATATAAACTGAGATAGACACTTATTTACTTTTTGATCTGATACCAAGTACTATATATAACCACTATTTCTGACGTCAATATAAATACAGATAGATTTATTTTTCTAAATTTAATTTTAAACTTAGTTTACGTTTTAGCAATTTTATTATTTGTTATTTTGGTAATTTGTATTATTTTTTATATTTCTATTTAGCCTTAAATAAATAAATAAATAAACTATATATGTATATATATATCCGTAATTACCATTAAAAGAGGCTAAATCGGAAATGACCAGACTCATTTATTGTGTTTATTTGTTAACAAAATTATAGAACACATTTCAGTATTTCTACTTGTTCTGATGAGTAAAAGGAGAACTAGTTCTTTCTATTATTTCCATATATACTATACTTACTAAAAAAATCTTTTTTTTTTCACTTAAAATCTTTGATCCACATTCATTTTTATGCTAAATAATTAAAAGGTTATAAAATTAGTACTAAGAAAAACTTTAGATTTATATTTTTATGCAAGATTGTATTTCAAGATGCATCTGTCCATACCTAGCTTAAAGATATGTAATTACTGTAATATTCAAAGTACCTTATGTCCATGCAGTGGCTTCTGTCTGACCTAATGACCCTGAAAGAAAGAGGAAGGATTATTTTTAGTGAATGAATTCTAATCTCATTATTCAGTTTACAAATAGAATCAAATGCACTGTTACAGACTTATAACAACAAATGCATTTTTACTATAAAACCCTGAGTAACATACGCACTGTTACCATTTCAACATTGTCATTGTCATTAATCTGATCTAACATAAAACAACCGAATTTGAAACCAATTTCAAAATACGCCCAGTCAATATTAAAAGATATTCGAGGATACAGTACTTACTGTGGAGTGGCTCAGTTTGTCAAAGCGGAATTTCAAGTTTGACCTCGGTGAAGTTTTGCTCTTTCCATCTAAGGAAAACACTGGGTGAGTTCTTGTTTTTTGTTAAAGTGCCAAAGTGCAAGCATGTGTGTGCATGCAAGTATACTCATGTTTATGCACATCTCATAGCTACAAATATGTGGACACCACCTTGTCAGACTATTTCAACAATTATCAATTTCCTATTAATGGTTTTAATGAGAAATGTTCAACAAGCATATATGGGTCGGGTTTTCAGGTTTAAGTGTATGATTGCTTTATTTTTTTATTTCAGTTTTAATTGGAGTACTTAAAGGAACACGCCACTATTTTTGAAAATTGGCTCATTTTCCAACTCCCCTAGAGTTAAACAGTTGAGTTTTACCGTTTTCGAATCCATTCAGCCGATCTCCGGGTCTGGCGGTAGCACTTTTAGCTGCAGCTTAGCATAGATCATTGAATCTGATTAGACCGTTAGCATCTCGCTCAAAAATGACCAAAGAGTTTTTATATTTTTCCTATTACCTAGCTGTGGACTATTTCAGGCGCTGTGTAATATCATTGCACCTGCTGCACCCATGGTACGGCAGCAAAGTTCCTTGATTATTACGCCGGAATGAGAGTATAGTTCCTAGACATATCGGCCTAGAAAATCGCAACTTTTCATTTTCGTCGGTCTTCGTACACGATGTGACTACAGAAGAGTCTAGTTTTAAATAGGAAAAATATAGAAACTCTGTGGTCATTTTTGAGCGAGATGCTAACGGTCTAATCAGATTCAATGATCTATGCTAAGCTAAGCTAAAAGTGCTACCGCCAGACCCGTGGAAAATGAGCCAATTTTCAAAAATAGTGGCGTGTTCCTTTAAACTTGTTTATTTTAGTAAACATTTTTAACATTCTAGTGTTCAACATTTCTAATTTTCCAGTTTTTAAAGTAAGCTCACTCAAAAATAACAATTTGCTGAAAATGTAGTCACCCTCAGGCCATCCAAGGTATAGATGAGTTTGTGTCTTCATCTGAACAGATTTGGATAAATTTAGCATTACATCACTTGCTCACCAATGGATCCTCTGCAGTGAATGGGTGCCGTCAGAATGAGAGTTCAAACATAAAAACATCACAAAAATCAACAAGTAACCCACACGACTCCAGTCCATTAATTAACGTCTTGTGAAGTGAAAAGCTGCATGTTTGTAAGAAACAAATCCATTGTTAACTAATTTTTTACTTCAAACAGTCATTTTCAGATAAAATACAAGTCCTCTATCCATAATATTGCTTTCTCCAGTGAAGAAGTTGTCACATCTGAATGAGGAGAGAAATATGCATAAATCAAGCACCGTTTACAAGCAAACACAGTCCAAAACAGTTCTAAACAAATATGTTGGTGGATTTTGATGTGAGGGGGATGTGAACAGGGGATGGACTTTTTCAATGTATGAAGCATTATTATGGATTATGGACTGGTATTTTGGCCAGAAGCGACGGTTTAAAGTTAAAACGCATTAGTGATGCATTTGCTTCTTAACAACTTTTCACACCACAAGACGTTAATTAATGGACTGGATTTGTGTGGATCACTTGTGGATTATTGTGATGTTTTTATCAGCCGTTTGGACTCTCATTCTGACGGCACCCATTCACTGCAGAGGATCCATTGGTGAATAAATGATGTAATGACAATTTCTCCAAATCTGTTCCAATGAAGAAACAAACTCATCAAGAACTTGGATGGCCTCCAGTACAATTTCAGCAAGAAAATCAGACTTGTTGTTTATTTGTTAACAATAATTATAAAACAAGTTTCAGCATTTTTACTTGTGTTCTGATGAGCTATAGATGAAATAGTTCCTACCCTATTTAAACTATTACCAATTGCATATAAATCGAAAAAGTTCTGCAAGCACATATGGGTCTGGTTTTCGGGTGTCCACTTACTTTTGGCTGTGTAGTGTATGATTGCTTCAGTTTATTTTTATTGTGTATGATTGCTTAATTCACCTGTGGGACTGCGGCACATGATCAGCGGCGTTCCAGAGTTCTGGCTTTCCACGCTGAGAGATGGACTGTACACAGATGAAGCCGTGGACGGGTGACTGCTCTACAGGACACAACACACACCAAAAGTCAGTCTGAGTGAACTGCAGTGGTAATGTTAATACTAGTACGATTGCTATAGATTGTCCTAGAACTAGCTGTGCTGCAGTAATTAAGCATATCGACAGGTGTCAGGCTGAGTGGATCAATGCAAAGGGCCATTTAGTTTGTGATGGTTATCTGCAAATCATCTGTATACAGGAAGTTTCTAGATGAGACTGAAGCATAATTGAATTGTTTTCACAGTGAGCTTATCTAAGGCAGTTATTTCAAGAGCTTTGCTAGAGAAAGAAACACACTGCAAAAATGATTTTCTTAATCATATCTTAATCAAAAAAATCTATATTTTTGCAGTGTGTATCACCAAGATATATCTTTTTACAAAAAAAAATAGTTTGTAACAATATACACTGTCGTTCAAAAGTTTGGGGTCAGTACTTTTTTTTTTTTTGAAAGAAATTAATACTTTCATTCAGCAAGGATATGATAACTTGATAAAAAGAGATAGTAAAGACTTTTATTGTTACAAAAGATTTGTTTTTGAATAAATGCTGTTCTTTTTTACTTTTATTCATCAAAGAATCCTGAAAAAAGTATCACGTTACAAAAAAATGTTAAGCAGCACAACTGTTTCCAACAATGCTGATAAATCAGCATATTAGAATGATTCCTGAAGGTTCACGTGACACTGTGACACTGAGTGATGGCTGCTGAAAATTCTTCTTTTCCACCACAGGAATAAATCATATTTTAAAGTATATTAAAATAGAAAACCATTCTTTTAAATTGTAGAAATATTTCACAATATTTTCACAAAATGTATCATATTATGATAGATAAATACATTTATATATATATATATATTACATATTAAGATCGTATGCCGTGTCGCTTGTACTTGGTTTAAGGAGATACTTGAATAGAAAAGAGGTCAAAAATACAGTTTTTTGCAGTGCACTCTTGAATCTCCTGAAAGGTCAACAGAACTCTTTTGTCTGTGTATAAGTGTGTGTCACCATTTCCAGCTCCTCCAGTCCGTCTCCCTCCCCTGCTGTGCTGCTGAAGCTGCTGGTGCTGGAGGAAGATCGGGAGATATTAGCTCTGCCGCTACTGTATACATGTTTAATGTATTGTTTCATGTGCACTGGTCATCTGCATCAGTTCGGCTTGGTATTGATACACAGTCACAGCTGCAACGCAGATCAGCACCGCAGTATATGTGTGTGTCTGCAAACCACCCCACACACACATCCACCCTGCCTGAAAACACCCACACACGGCAAAATCATCCATATAGTCCCAAACACACACACAGGCCTTCTAAGAGCTTAGTCCAGAGCAGCTCAGTTTCATACATTTTAATATCCAGACAGACAGGATCACATGCACACAGACAGATAGACAAGTAAACAGGAAAATTTTAGCAGTACCATTACTGTGTACCATTTGTGTCCTACACAAAAATTACATTCAAAACCAGATGCTAAAAACTTTGTCTATACACATAACTGTTCAAAAGTTTAGGCTCAGTAATGCTGTTTAAAGAAGTCTCTTATGCTCACCAAGGCAGCATCTATTGATTAAAAAGATATTTCAAGCTAAGTTTGTGTTTTCAATAGAAGTCCTAACATTACAGTTTGGGGTTGGAATGATTTTTAAATATTTATGAAAGAAGTCTTATGCTCAACAAAGCTGAATCTATTTGAAAACCTGTAAAATTAGTCATTTTGTGAAATATTATTACAAAATTTAAAATAACTGTGTTCTATTTTAAAATATTTTAAAATGTAATTTATTCCTGTGAAGGCAATGCTGAATTAGTCTTCAGTCTTCAGAGTCACATGATCCTTCAGAAGTCATTATAATATGCTGATTTGCTGCTCAAGAAACATTTCTGGACCCACTTTATATTAAGTGGCCTTAACAACTATGTACTTACATTTAAATTAATAATTTGGTACAATGCACTTATTGTGTACATACATGTTTTTACATTGTACTTATATTTTAAAAATACCTGCATGTAATTACATCTGTAATTAATTTCTGTAATTACATTTATAATTACACAGTTGACCCATCCCTTACACCTTAACCCACCCTTAAACCTACCCATACCACCAAACCTGTCCCTAACCTTACCCGTATCCCACCTCAATAGCAGCAAAAGTGTTTTGCAATACAACATGAACACAATAAGTACATTGTACTTAATTTTTGATGTAAGTACATAGTAGTTAAGGCCACTTAATATAAAGTGGGGCCACATTTCTTTTTATCAGTGTTGAAAACAGTTGTGCTGCTTAATATTTTGGTGGAAACCATGATACATTTTTTTCAGGATTCTTTGATGAATAGATAGTTCAAAAGAACAGCATTTGTTTGAAATAGAAAACTTTTGTAATATTATTTGTCTTTATTGTCACTTAAGAATCCTTGCTGAATAAAAGTATTAATTCCTTTAAAAAATCTTACTGACCCCAAAATTTTGATTGGAAGTACATACTGTAGAATATTTTTTTTATATATATTTGAGAGGGAATTGAGAATACTTTTCTGAACAGAACAAAGCCAAAGAGCAACATCATTCAGTAAAATCTTTAGTTCTCTGGGTTTTTAAGCGGTCAAGGACAAGACATCTCACCTTAAAAGACTCCAGCAGCCCTCCATGACCTCCATTTTCTAGCTTTTCTTCATCTGTAGCTGAGCCCAGTCCTACTGTGGCCTGTGTCTGTCTGTGCAGTTCATCGTGAAGGTTATCTAACAGTGCTGCCCGTGTCCTCTCCTGTCAAACACACACACAGAACGACAGACAATGATTCAGATAGACTAATTAAAGCGATAGCTCACCCCAAAATGAAAATTCATTAGTAAATAATGACAGAATATTAAAATTTTGGGTGATTATTCCTTCAAATCAATTGTTTATACTATAGTGAATCCTGAATCTCAGGATCTGTTTTCTCACCTCTAGCTTGGCGAACTTGTCTGACTTGCAGCATGCATTTTCTGCGTTGATCAATTTTGTCAGGAGAAATTCCCGGAACTCGGGACCCTGGGAAAGTGTTGATCTCCATCATCTTATGACACAAATTATCATCTCCTACAACATTTAACTGAAGCAATCTTTTATGTTACCTTCTTAAAGACAGAAGGGTTTGGAAGAGGGGGGCCGAACGGAGGGACATCCTCTCGCGCTGTGACGGACACCTGTGAACACGATCAATATCTCAGATCAGCGGGATTGATGGGATTGATGGGCATCTGGAGTAATTCAGTGAGGTGTTTGACAAACCTTGTACGTGGTGTGATCAGTGCAGGGGTTTTCCGCCTGCACTAATACGTAGGCATGAAGGAAGTTGGATGCGATCATATCAGGTACGAATGGTGTGGGCTCTTCCTGGAAGACGGCTGCGACAATGTCATTGCCAATATGTCTCTTCCTCTGGAGCTGAGAGAATATGACACAAGAGGAAAATATTTATAAATATTTTGAATGCAATGGATTTACCAACACATTTTCAGCCCAGATCAACATACATAGATTATTAATATTTAGAAATATGATATTCTAAAAATATAAATAATTAATATTTGCACTTTTTTATTTATATTTATATTTTTAAAACACTTAAATTATTTTACAATGTGAATTTCATTAAGTACATGTCTCCCCAGTTGTCATTGCGGTAATGCAAATATATCTCATTACCGTAACACAAAACAATAATAGACTTTTTTAACTGTATAGTATTTTTACATCATGGTAATATCTTTAAATATCTTTTCTTTTTGCTAATTTAAAAAACAAACAAAAAGAAAACAGCCATAATTAAAATCATAACTGTCCACTACAATAATTAAGATTTGGAAGGGATTTGTGAAGATTTTTTTTTCTTCTGTTGATTTTAGAGTGAAATATTATCTAAAGTGTGTATGAAAACCTTGACAAATTAAAAAATAAATAAAGATAAAAATGAAAATATAAAATGAATCAATTATATTAAATAATTACATAATATTTAAATATTACATAATGTTAGATTTAAAAAGTTTAACTAAAAATGAAATAATATATTTAAAAAAAAATTAACATTAAAGGGATAGTTCACCCAAAAATTAAAATGAGCCCTTGATTTACTCACACTCAAGCCATCATAGGTGTATGTGTCTTTCTTCTTTCCGATGAATACAATTAGAGTTATATTAAAATATAATCTGAGTTATATTGTGTAAGAAAAATATCCATATTTAAAACTTTATAAACCATAATCTCTAGCTTGCACCAACTGTCGTACATGCGGTCCAACGTCATACACTAGAATGCCACTCTCTAGTGAACACGTGTACGATAGTTAGCAGAAGCTAGAGATTACAGTTTACAAAGTTCTAAATATGGATATTTTCTTACACAACGATTCGATTCAGCAGGCCTTTATTAACCCCCCAGAGCCGTGTGGAGTACTTTTATGATGGATGGATGCACTTTATTGGACTTCAAAATCTTAACACCCATTGACTGCCATTAAAAAGCTTGGAAGAGCCAGGACATTTTTAAATATAACTCTGACTGTATTCATCTGAAAGAAGAAAGTCATATACACCTAGGATAGCTCGAGAGTGAGTAAATCATGAAGAAATTTTCATTTTTGGGTGAACTATGCCTTTAAAAAAGTCTGGATTTTTTAGCCCACCTGCTGAATGTCTCCTTCTGTAAAAGGGAGTTTTGTGGAAACGTGAAACATGATTTCTCTCTGACGGAACGTAGTATAGACACACTCCGATCCTGTCTGTCCATGAGACACATCCAGACCGCCTCTGAACCTGAGCAACACAATACCACACACACCAGACAAATGAGTTCTGCAGAAGTACCGCTTAGGCAGATCAGTCTGATTACCGCAAACAGGCTTCCAGTCAAAATCACTCACAATGAGTAAATTAAATCAATTATCCACAAATGGATTCTTTGAATATTGTTTAATATTAAAACAAGCCTTTTATGTGAGCACAGGTGAACCTTGGCAGCAGTTTTCAGCGCTTAATCTCCATCTCTCACCCTTTAAAATCCTGCAGTTCAATATTGTCTCCTAAAACACTGAGGAATTCAGTAAAGGCTGGCGTCTCCTCATTGTTCCCGAACAGCTCTTCCTCTGTTGTCTGATGTGAAGAGACAATACCAGTGGGAAACGAAGAAAAAGAGCGAGAACTTCAGTCAAAGTATGTACAATGAAGACAACAACTCAAGACTGACTCTCTCACCTGACCAAACTTCTGATAGATGACTCCAAACTTGAAAGTGTTGTTCACTTCGTGCTCATCAAAACTGACGATCAGTTGCGAGGCCTTGGGCAAGAGAAAACAGAAAGTGAGAGAAAGCGCCCACAGGGGTAAATATGTGTGTCAGTGCCTTTCCATAATTCAGGCGTTTGTGTTTGCCATGCCTGACAGACCATGCACAGCCTTGAGATGGTCAAGGCTTCTCTCAAACACACTATGTAGTTCAGGCATGCCAGGCAGTGTAAAGCAGATGGATTTGTGACTCCCCTGGAGCACAGGAACATATTAATTCAGATGACTTGGGTACTAGGGTGAGACGGAGCAAAGCCCAGCCCTATTTCACCCTGCTGCCTTGAGTAGGTAAGTCACAGATGGAGTGAAAAAGACAGAAATGCTCACCCTAGGGTAGAGGACGGGGTTGAACTTCAGACCTGTGACGTCATCGCAGAGCAGCTGAAACACACAGGACACATCTGATGTGAACATCTCGCATCTTTTGAGTGGATTGAGGGAAGTTCAAAAGAGGTCTGCTAAGTCTTGAGAGACTTTGTGAGAGAGATTTTTTGAGAATGTGTGTCCTTGTACAATTTAACAGCTTGACTGCAGACCTACATAATGTAATTGTAGTCTATTAAGATGCCTTCATCTGACCAATTTTTTAATCCCAGTAGCCTTCACTGCCTATGATATCCCACAATCCTATGGGTTTTGGTGGTTGGATGAAAGAATTAAAATTTATAACAAACATTCAAAAGTTTGGGACCAGTATGTTTTTTTTTTAAAGAAATTAATATTTTATTCAGTAAGGATGCATTAAAATGATCAAAGTGATAATTTTGTACAAAAAGAAACCCTGAGATTTAATTTTTTTAATAATAAATCTTCAACTTTCTATTCATTGAAGAATCCTGAAAAAAAAAATTCCACAAAAAAATTAAGCACCACAACTGCCATTGACCGTGATAGTAATAATGTTATTTGAGCACCAAATCAGCATATTAGAATGATTTATGAAGGATCATGTGACACTGAAGACTGGAGTAATGACTGATGAAAATTCAGCTTCATCATCACATGAATAAATTACATTTTAAAATATATTACAATAAAAAAACTGTAATAATATTTCAGAATATTACTGTATTTTTGATCACATAAATGTAGCCATGGTGAGCATAAGAGACGTCTTTCAAAAACGTTTAAAATCTTGCCGACTACAAACTTTTGAACAGTAGTGTATGAAGAATTTTCTTTTCTATTAAATTTTTCTTTGGATGTGCAAAGCTCATTTGAACTTGATTTTTAGACATGACATTGGCTTAGAAGTGATTGACTTAAGTCTTAAGTGACTGACTGACTAGGCAGTGATAGGTTTGCACATGTTTCTCATGATCCTAAAGACTGTTTCATTGAAATATCACACTTACATGATCCAAATGAATTTTCTAGACAAATTTATTGTGTGGCTTTTAACTAAACATGAAATTAAGGGCCAGATTTACTAACAGCTTGCACCAGCGCAAACGTCTTTTGGCGTTAAAATAGTACTGTCAGGATTTACTAAAGACGCGCAGTGAAGAATTAGCGCTGAAAAGGCATGGACACAGTTAATTTTGCCCCTGACCTTATTGAATATGCATTTGTAGGAGTTTCCCTTTCAGACGCTAAATTTATGGGAGGAGAGTATTAAAGGGGTCATATGATGCTGCTAAAAATAACATTATTTGGTGTATTTGGTGTAATGAAATGTGTTTATGCGGTTTAAGGTTAAAAAAACACATTATTTTCCACATACTGTACATTATTGTTTCTCCTCTATGCCCCGCCTTTCTGAAATGCGTCGATTTTTACAGGCTCATCAGTCTGAAAAGCGAGGTGTGCTCTGATTGGCCAGCTATCCAGAGCGTTGTGATTGGCCGAATACCTCAAGCGTGTGGCGGAAATGTTACGTCCCTTACCATATTGTGATGCCCTGTCCCGCCGGAGCTACGAGACATAAACATTAAAACCCATTATAAACGAGGCATTTGTTGCATCCAGTGGGGACATAATTACGGATTATAATGACTTATACTGTCTTTTTACTCGTTGCGTTGCATCGCGCCGCGTAAACATAAAACCAAATGCATTTGTGATTGGAGAAATGACAAACAACAAGATCTACTCTACACTGCCCAAAAAACTCGCGTTAAATATATAAAATATAAAAACTCTTTAAATATAAAAAAGTTAGAACGAGCCTTTTTAGGTAGGTGTGGCTGACTCTTAACTTCTATAAAGAATATCTCTTTGGATTTTAGACTTTAGTCTTTGCAACTTTACAGATCTTCTTTATGCACCAAGAGCTTGTAACACTCCAAAGAGAAAGGAAAAATTGAAATTGCATCATATGACCCCTTTAAAATGAATCACGCAACGCGATTTACTAACGTTTGCGCCTGTCAAATTACTGGTATTTGCGCCATTATTTAACGCTCCAAAAAAGCAAGTCTTAAAGCAGACGCTAATTTGCGCTGCTCTTAGTAGATTGTGTGGGTCATTATGGAAATGATCAGGCTGCGTTTGTGTTCTTTAATTTGCGCATTCAGTAAATCACCTGTGGAAATTTCCACTCCCATTAGCGCTTTTTTGGAAATGCACTCTCATGCTAATTTGCCCTGTTGAGTGAATCTGGCCCTAATTCCCTGATTTTTTTATTTTTATTATTTATTTTTTTTCCTGAATGGCTGAGTTAGAGTGGATAATAAAGGAACTCCCAACAAGAACTGAGGATACATAGGAGCTCCTTCAAAGCATCCCGGTTATTATCAAGCCAATGGAACTATCTAAAAGACGGTTTTGATTTGTTTGGTCACTGCAACGTTTCCATTTGTGTTATTTAATAGCTTTGAAGACATTTATCTGGTGCTGTATATCTTGCCAGTACACACCTTGGCTATCTGTGGTACACTTGGTAGCTGGAGGAGGCCTTCAAGTGGGATTCGCTCATGAAGGGTCTTTGTTTTTGACCTAGAAAATGACATAAAAATAAATGCTCAGCTATTTACTATGACAATATAGGCCTATCTTGCAATGACTATACCAGAGTTTCAATATGTGCTGGATATGGCACCTGAGCATGATGCGGAGAGACTCCTGTCCATCTGCCTCCTCATACTTCAGAGACATGATGAGGTGTCCCATACTACTGGCTGTGCAGTAATAGTTCATGTGCTCCTGAGAAAGAGAAAGGTGTTTACACAGGCGTCATTTCACAGGTTCATTCCTCACATATTTCAATATGGAGAGTTTCATTTTCCAGTAGACTGGGTTTGCATTTTTATAACTCAAGTGTGGCTCTGTGTCGTTCCAGGCATGCTCTCTGTGACACACAACTGATACAAAAAAGTGCCGTACAAAATGTTTGTTCAAAGAGGCGCCATCACACCTAATATCCAAGTGGTATGAAGAGCTGTGAGTAAATAAGCTACAGGCACATGAAATATTACCTCAGACAAGACACTTACTTTCAGCTAAAAGGGCATTTACTGGCATTTTGTGGCCGTGGTGAGAATAACCCATTATAATGCATGGGTGTTTCTTCAGCTATGGCTACTTTTGGCCCTGTGAACTTACGGTGTAGAAATTAAACATACTGTCGGCATTAACAAATGAATCCTCACATTGCCCAGAAAGTGTTTGCGGTAAGCCCGTGAGATGCTGTTACACTCCAGCCTGTAGCTGAAGCCTCCTTCTCCACCAGGGCTCAGACCATCCTCTTCCTCCTCACAGAAGCTGCTGTCTGAGGACGTGGGCGTCCCAACCGGAGCCTCGGGATCCTCAATCCAATATCCACCAAACTGAGGTAAAATGACCTGAGGGTAGGGACCACTCTTCTCCAAGACCTAGCCAACATATATCAACAAATAAAAGTTATATTGGTTTCAATTATATAACTCAATAAAATCATTCACAAACCCTGCACATCAGCAACTTGTGTACTTATTATGATTATGTAAATATATCTTATTATTATATAAATATACACTACTGCTCAAAAGTTTGGGTTCAGTGAGATTTTAAAATCTTTTTGAAGAAGTCTCATGCTCACCAAGGTTGCATTTATTTGATCAAAAACACAGCAAAAACAGGAATATTATGAAATATTAAATTTAAAAAAAAATGTTTTCTATTCTGGTGTATTTTGCATAACACATAAAATCACAGTTCAAAGAATAGCATTTATTTAAAACAGAAATCTTGTGTAACATTACAAATGTCTATATGAAAAATATTTTAATCAAAGTTTCAATACATTTATAGCTTTAACTGTTAACAATAGCAGTGTTGAAGTTATTAATGAAAGCTAATGGCTACCTATAAAATTATGGAAAAATAAATAGCACAGTGTATGAGATTTGTTGCCAGGGACAACAGCATAGCAATCATTATCAAACATACATGCATTGATTAACCAATCAAAATCAAGTATTCCAGAGAGCCGTGTGATAAATAGAGACAATCTGTTCCTTCCAACCTTAAAACACTTGAACATAATGAAAACTCTCTTGTGCTAAATTACAAAACAGTATAGAGTACATAGAACTAGGCTTGATTTTATGTTTAATTTGAACTGTTGTGTGTTTATAAGTGTGTGTGTGTGTGTGTGTGTTTTCGTGGACTCACATCCTCAATCCGGGGGTAAGGGATGTAGTCATCCTGTAGGAGAGAAAAAGAAATTTGATAATAGAATAACACAGGAAAGTCAAGCACATATATCACAGTGTGTTTATTGCAATGAAAAATCCCAAGAGCAGGATAGAGGAATAATATCTACACCAGAATAGGACTGATAAAAAAAAAATCGAAATAACGGCAGCAGCAAGAAAATAAAGGTATCTGATTATTCTCAGCTTGCATTCCAATAATCATATATGGGATATAAAGGTTTTTTAGTCTGCTTTTGGACTCTCTGGCAGCATCTAAAGGCCATCATCACTGACCTTTACATCACTAAATGTAAAAAGTACTTCAAAATGATTGATGTTGATTGATGAGATAAAAAAAAAATCTAAATAACGGCAGCAGCAAGAAAATAAAGGTATCTGAGCATCTAAAGGCCATCATCACTGACCTTTACATCACTAAATGTAAAAAGTACTTCAAAATGATTGATGTTGATTGATGATGTAGAACTCAAGACTGTAGCTGATGTTTGTCAGAATATTAATGAAGAAGAAAAGACCCCACTCACAAACATGCACTTACAGACACAATATACGCATACACACATTCAAAATACCAGCCAAACCTTGTATTTCTTAGTCTCCTCGGTTTTGGGACTCTGCCGTGTCCAGGTAAGCAGAAGAGAGTGAAAAGAGGAAGAATAAATGACAAACTAGAACATTAAACCCTGGTGGTCAAATGAGCTCCCCAAATAAAGCAGGTTTGTTTTACAGTCAATAAAGTCTTCTTAACCTGTTTGTCTTTTTTCCATTTTAAATTGTTTTTATTTTATTTTTATTTAACTTTTTTTTATGATTATGGTGGCTAATATCAAGTTATTTTGTCAAAAACTGTGGTTACCATGATAAATTGTTTCCACCTGCAGTCCAGGAAAAACTTACATGATAAATTAAGACAAATATTTAAAAATTTGAATATTTTTGAGGCAGAATCTCTTGTTCACTTGGAAACATTTATAACAATAATTTTACTGTATAACACTGTATGTACGTCAATCTCTTTATTTTAGATGTTTAGTACAGAGACTGTCCTACATGACATTATTCAAATTAAACAGATAATGTACATAATAGCATTTAGACATATAAATATATATATTTTTATATTTTAAATATAAATATATATATTTTAAATCAAAATAAATGGTAAGTTAATAAAATAAATTGCATTAACACTGTAAATACATGTATTTTATTTAATATTTAAATTATTATTTTTAATTAATTTAAAGGGGTCATATGATGCTGCTAAAAAGAACATTATTTTGTGTATTTGGTGTAATGAAATGTGTTTATGCGGTTTAAGGTTCAAAAAACACATTATCTTCCACATACTGTACATTATTGTTTCTCCTCTATGTATGGCCTTTCTGAAACGCGTCGATTTTTACAAAACTAATCGGTCTGAAAAGCGAGGTGTGCTCTGATTAACCAACTATCCAGTGCGTTGTGATTGGCC